AGCAAACTTGAATAATTCCTCCATTGACTTTTATCTATGACAAAAAAAAAAAAGTGTTACCTCTACCTAAGGCAAAGTTTTAAAGAACATCTTACAAGTCAAATAGAAATGTTTATGACATCTAGGTTATATTAAGTTTTTAAACTTTGAGTATAGATCACAGAGAGCAAGTACTGGAGTTAGAACATGATTCTCAAGTCTCCTGGCCTGTCCTGGTTTCTCCACTTTTCATTCACCATTCTTCCTTTGTTCCAAGATCCCAAATCCTTCAAATGTCACCAGACTACTCAGGCAAGGGCCACACAAATAATTAGAAAGAAAGGAGGAGTCATCCAGAATTTGTTACTCAGGTTATCTCAAGTGTGTCAGGGCCATCACAGCTGGCTCAGTTTGCCTTTATGCCAATGGAATCCTTAAAGCCTTCCCCAAAAAAGGGCAAATATTGACACAGACACAGGTGTCCAGCAGAATTCCATGAATAAAAAGACCAAATTGGGACCTAAAACACAATCTCTATGTTATTTGTTGGCTACCCAGGATTCATGAGATGGGCCACAAAGTCACAAGCTATTTTCTCCTCCTGGCTAGGATGAGAGCAGCTACACAGAGTCTACAAAAGGAGTAAGGCAGCAATCTCGTTGCAAGTGCCTCATCTCCCTCTTTCCTGCCTTCTCCTCAGTTCTCAGCCCTGGCCTGCAAGCCCTAAATGCTGCAAGGTTAAGAAACTGTGAACGATGGCAGCAGATCTAAGCAGCCCTCAGAACCCAGCACAGAGAGCACTCTTTGCCTGATAATACCAGAAATAGCCTGGTTTAAATCCATTATAGTTTAAAATGTGTAATTCCCCTACAATCAAGACTGTCTTTTCTCCCATATGCCCTTCCAGGAATGTTTTCTCTCACTAAATATTTTTTTGCCTGTAAAAGATCCAGCCAAATTATTAAACATTTAGGAAGCCTTACTTTGCAAAGAACTGGGAGAGATCTTTAGAAAGAATGAACTGGACAGGATCCTAAACCCAGGCAAAAAAAGAGACTTGTAACAAACAATACAGACATAAAAAGAGCAAATGAGCTTATGCATTTTAAGTTCTTGCATGCTAAAAAGGAACATCCACAACACTGAGCCCTGGAAGCTCAGGAGATTGGCTCCTACAACTGAACCACACAGTTTCTTTATCATTTTCTTTATCAGCAGCTCATAGTGGCAATCTCTAAAGCAAGAAGCAGAAGTCATGACCAAAATACAGAATAATATTTCTGATTTTTAATCTTTGTTTGCAAGTATTACTCTTAGAGTTTCAAAAACAACTTGAAACAGCTGTAGTATTTACCATAAGATACTAAGAAAAATTAGATTTCTATTAATTTTAGCTAAACAGCATGAAGTATACAACCTTGTTAAAGAGTTCTCTGATGGCTTCTTGGGCTGCTTTAGATCTCCCTGAATTTATCAGATACAGAGAGGGAAAATAGGACATTGCCTGTTATGCAGCCACCTACAGATCAATAATACCATTAAGAGAATAAACATGTAAGTAAAAACCACACAGAAAAGCTTTTACACTAAAACATTCCCCACTAAAGAAATCTGTACTCATGGAAATGTGCACCAATTCAGATTATTTATTACACTGTGTACAAATAAGAAATAACATGTGAATGATCATTGTAGTATGGTTTTTCAATACATGTAAAACTCCAGATTTGGATCTACAGCTTGAAAAGCTTCTGACAGGCTCTGATTTTCTGCTCCATGCTCTGCATTGACCACATCAAGCAGGTGACTTTAGGTGTGGTATCCAGGCAGGAGGAGGGTGGGCAGGAAAGATGTAAGTGAACAGCAGTAAAATACAAAGGTTCATTCCCCCACCTTGTGGGTAACTACTGGAACAACAACTCACAGCAGCATCCCTTCATTTGCAACCCTGACACACTCATCTGTATCATTCCACACAGATTTCTGCTGGGCTACACTGAGTGTCCAACTTCAAAACACTTTGCCATTAACTCAAAGTTGATTTAAGCAATATGCTGTTTTATTTTTTAAATTCTACCTCAACTTAGAGAATATTTACTCTGGATATTCATCAGCATCAGTTGATGCTGAATTGTTAAGCTGAATTACTTATCCCCTCATTCAACTTCACAATTTATCCCCTTCAAAACTATTTATTCTCTTACTACTAAACTGCTTTCTATTCTGTGCCTACAAAAAATCCAAAATATCTTCCAGGCCCTTTAAATTTTGAGAAAATGGTTAAATGTGATGGTCAGAGGTATTAAATTCTTTTGGTGCATATAGTTTATCACTGGGAACACAAAACCTCATCTGCAGGATAATTTTCTTTGGTGTTGGTGGGAGAGGGGGGGATTTTAGGTTTCCTGTTGTGACAGAATCCCAGATCAGCAGCATCTCCTGAGGCTGCAGAGCCCAGGCACAGGCAGCCACAGAGAGTTGTCCAGGACCACGTGGACTCAGGCTGCAAACAACTGCAACAAAATTTCACATTCTGAGGGGTTTTAAGAATGGCATGATGCTATTTGGTTTTTTTAAATTCCACATAAGTACTTGTAAGTAGTTGGCTTATTGTAATTCTGTAGAGAATGACTGGCAGTAGTCAATAAATATAGGGTCACTTTGAGAGGAAAAGGTCTAAATAAAATCCAATAAAATTCTCATTGAAAAAGAGCCTAAAATCCCCTTGAACAGTTAACAGCAAAATGGACAAAGCTCATGTAAGAAATTAGTAAAGATGCTGATTGCATTTTCAAAATACAACATTTCAGCATATGAATATTTATTCATCTCTAGATTGGGCAGAAACTCAAGATAAATTATCCAAGTAAAATTAAAAAGCTCACAGTTAAGTGGAATTGATAGCACTATCCTGTGAAGCACATATAGCCATTATCTACTCAAAAGTTCTCACGTCATTCTCTCTTTTTTTAAAGAATTAAGTGGCTCTAAAAATGTAAGCACAAGCATATTAATGTGTTTTTCAATGAAACAGCTTGACTGTATTATCATTTTGCTGCTACTGTCTTTTTTAAATGGTTGCTAGGTCATAGATCTGCATTGAGGAAAGCTGTGCTGTTCTTTACCTAGGGGACAGCTGAGCATGCCAGCACATGGAGGGCATGGCACAAAGGACAGAGCAACTTTCAGAAGGGTTTCAGGAGGCTACAGCTGGAGCAACAGACTGAGAAAGTCACAGGGACTAAACATTCATCCACATTGTGTGAAAAAAAAATGCTTTTGAAGAGCTGGAGAAGCCTATGACGAGCCAGAATGCAAAGGGGTAACTGAAGCAAAGCAAGGACCCAGGGCTGACCTAAATGCTTGGACTTCTAATTAACACCAATTTTACTGTCTTAATATTCAGTAAAAAATGGTCTTTCAGACAGCAAAAAGCTTCTGGGTACTCACTGAAAGGAAAAGGCTAGGGAGATGTCAACAGCTTGACAACCCGGTGTTCTCAGTAATACTGAAAAACTCAACAGCTTTGCAGAGGCACAAAATTTTTAGGGTATGGAAAAACATACTTAAAAATACCAAAATAAAGCACAGAACAAACAACAACAAAATAAAAAAAAAGAACAAACAACAAAAAAACCTGAAACACACAAAAAATCTTTTAAAAAGCTTTTCACTTGCATCACAGCACTTGGCTGAAATTCATCACTTCAAGATTGTCTGAAAACATACTGTTACCCTCTAACCCCAACAGATCATCCAAACAGGATTTAATTCTGCAGTTGTTCTTATGGTGGGCACATATAGGAACTAGACAAGACTCTCCTTGTCCCTTGTGTTGCACTAGGATGTTACACTAGGTGGTTTTTCCCTGTTGCTCAACCCACGGGTCTGTGGTTTGTTGGTTCCTTCCCCTGCTTTCCCCCTTCCCTTTTCCCTCAGTTTAAAAATCCCCACCATTTCCCCCTTGGTCTCTTTTTTTCCCTGGAGTTCATTCCATGAATAAACTGGGACAGGAAGAGAGAGCCTCCTGTGTCTTTTATCTTTGTCCTTGCCGAATCCTCTCCCCCTGCCCCGGTGGACTGGAGCTAGCCGGGCCATTTCCTGCGGCTGGGAGCAGAGGGATTAGGGCAGTCCCTTAACCTCCTCATGCAGAACTTCAAGAAAATGCAGCAGCTTTAGGAAAAGAACTGGCAGGGAACAGGAAAACAAAGTTCCCAAAGTCAGAAAGCAAAGCTCAGGTAGAGTCAACAGCATTTGCAGCAGCAGAGGATGCAGCTATGCCAAAGGGCACTTCAAAAAGAGAGACAGGAGGAGACAAGGCAAAGTGGAATGAAATACTAGAGGCAACTGGAAACCTATTCATCCCAAATATTCATCTTCATTTAAGCAAGAAATGGAATTCCTCTCTCATGTCCTCTTGATCCAAGTGGATTCATCACTCCAGCTGGAGGTCATCTACCAGTTCAAATTCAGCTAGCAACCCAAACAGCAAAGATGTGCATTTCAAAATAAAAACTACTGCTTCTTCAGACTATTTTAAATAGGAAGTTTCTTCATTGAGCCTAGTCACATATAAAGTGAGAAAATTAAATATCTACTCTTTACAATTCAAGCCAGAAAGTTTACCAAACACATGAGGAAGTATATAAGGGAATCAAGCAGAAGACTGGAGTCAGAAAGGTGTCTTCAGAACTGTTTCAACTCCAATTCACCTAAAAACAGGCACATGATACTGTCTGAATCTGCACCAAGTAGACTAATGTAACAACTATTTTCAAGTGTGAATTAGGAGGCAGTACACATACAACTGTCCCTAAATGTCAGAAAACAAGATGCAAAAACTGCTCTTTTGCAGTACCTTGGTACTCCAATTGTTTTCACACAGTGTCAGTGACGTGAGGCAAACCAAAGCACATTGTGCACTTGAGAAGCAACAAAACTTTAAATCATAGTACAAATACTTGCATATAAAAATTTATTGCCTTTTTTTTTTAAAACATGAACTTGATATACATACAATCTGGACAGCTAATTTATTTATTGTTTGAGCAGAGCTTTCTAGAAAACAGGCGATGGCACAGAATTAAAGGCTGCACCACATTTTTTCCCATGTAGCAAAGTAGATCAATAGCCATGTGCATACAACAACAATAAAATATGTGTGCAATGCTCTCTACAAGTTCTGTTTGGCAGCTTGCTTTCAAATGTCTTAAGCTTTCCAACTTTGGTGACCTCATAGGTACATGTTAAGAGTGCATTTATACAATGCACCGGACCTTAAGTGTAGAGTTTAAAAATCTAGGCCTGGTGCACTGTATGGATCTGTAGAAAAATATTGTCATTTTAGTTCACCAAGTTTGTATCTACAGCTATTCTAACAAAAAATAGAAGTAAGAAATAGAAATTATTCTTTCCAAGAAAAGGAAATTGGAAAGGTCAAATTTTCATGAGTTTTCACAAGGACACTGATTTTCTTACCTGATAGCCAAAGACTGACAGCAAAAACTCTCAGCTCACTGATCACTGAACTCAAATCTGTTTGCTCATACAGTTCTTGACTCAGCTACCTATGGATGTGCCTGATGTTAAGGAAGGAACTTGTCTCAAGGAACTTCATGGGATTATTCATACCAGACATACACTTTGTGTTTAAATGTATTAAACTGAATGCTAACAGCCTTCAGGAAGAGAAACTGCAACACAAAGATTGCATCAGAAGTGAGTTTTAACTTATTAAGATGACATTCTTCCAGTGGAGTAACTATATACTGAAATATGGAGACCTAATTTCTTAGATTTATGTTTTAGAGATACAATTCTAAACCCAGTGTGCTGTTCCTCCTACAAAATTCTTTAGGCTACAGTGACACAATCAAAACCATAAACAGGCAAATGACAGGTGAATATTATTTTCCATTTTTAAAGTGCAAATTTTCATTTACAATGTGACAACATTCCAAAGTAAACATTTCCAGACAATAGCCTATTTCTTTCATGTACACTCATATTTACATTGCTTCAATGCAGTATTTTTTAATACTAAACTCTCAGAGATGAAATCATATTAGCTAAATTGTACAATTGTAAGTGTAATTACTGTACAGTAATGGAAATGTTGAATGTTGTCTAAAATTGTTTTTAATTTGTTCCAATCATGAACAAAAGTACTTCATCTGAAAAAACACCAGAACCACAACTACTACCACCAGTCTGTAAACTAGAACCTTAGAGTGCAAATAAGATAACTTCATTTTAGAATTTCTGACATTAAAAAAGGCAGAAAATAAAATTTCAGAGTGGGAAAACATTTTATCAAAAATTGCAATTTTTAAACTGTGCATGCACATGTTAGAAATCTATTGTTTCCAAAAGATGCATAACTTCTAATACTAAAATGTAAATGGCTGTTAACTTTGAAAGAAGACTTCAGATATTTTATCTTTACTTTTTTCCCAACGTTTCCATGTTGCTTCTAATCAATTTTAGGGAGAAAATTGCATACCAAACGTCAAACCCAACAAATCCTATCATTATCAAGACAGCATTTAAGGTTTCCTCAGCTGCAAGGATGCTCTCTTTACCAGCTTCTCTTGTTTTCGTGTTGTCTGGGCTTCCTGAATGGCACAACAAACCCTCTGTAAAACAACATAGTGAAAGCAAAAAACAATTAAAGCAGGTAGCACTTTCCTTCCATAAGATGTTACTAAAACATAATTAATACAACAAACATGTAAACCCACTCACACAGGCTGGTCTAAGTCAGATTCTTAGCTCCTGATTCACATGCACAATATTCAACTGATGAAACAGAAATCCACAAAATGTAAATGGGTAGGAAGTGTTGTACTTGAGAGCAGAAAAATCAGATTTTAATGTATAGATACCAGCACAAACATTAACAAAGGAAAGTGCAGTTAGGAAATAATACCAAAAAAGGTAATTAAACGCAAGGAAGTATCCTTCTAGTGTGACCTATGTGTTTTGTGTAATGCTCCAGCTTTAGCCATGCCATTAAGATACAGACAAACTAAAAGAATTGAAATTACTTAATTCCAAGAGTGATTTGGACATGCTGTAAGAGAAAGCTGAAGGAACTGTTTTAGGCAAGACACAGTAAAGAACTAAGATAGACTCTTCCAGTATATAAAGTGCCTCAAAATTATAGCAATTCTTTCCTCCCCAGCCTAACCTATTCTTTTAGGAGGATCAATCAATTTAATAGCAGCAATTTGGCCCTGATTCTGCCAGGACACTGTGGATCTAATTGATTTCACATTTGGTATCAGGGAGAACACCTCTTCTCTCATCACCTGATACAACACTACAGTAACACACATGGTTTCCTAGGAAAATTTTTCTACTCTTTAAGTGCCCTGGAATTTATCCAAATTGATAGATCACCTCAGGTAAATTACCTACAAGATCCAACAATCCACAGGAGGAAGGCTCACAAAATACTCCAGCCTCCCCAGTACCAACAGGAAAGAAACATTTGGAGATAAATGGTAGGAAAAACACGTGGGGAGGGAGGAATCCAAGTAACCCTTTTGATACAAGGTCCACTTGAACTGGCTTAGGTGATCTTGAAATAATGAGGAGGTATGTGGAATCCTACAGACTATAGGGAATTTAATACAACCTACTACTTTAGATATTGGAATTCTTTTCCTTTAATGAGCTTTAACATACAATCCCTAAGACTATGTGACTTCAACGTTAAATTATTATTGCATAAACTCTCTTTAATGCTTTGGACTATCTGGTCTCATCATTCTCTTGGTGAAACAAATTTTTCAATGCAAAACTATGGTAAATGGTCCTCAGGCACAGCAGCCTATTCTCTAACAAGTCTCATTCTCTAACAAGTCTCCGGACATTACCATCTTTTTTACATGCTGAATTTCAACAACTGCTAACAATGTTGTAAGAAAAGAAGATCAAAATAAAAAAATATATATATACCCTTGCTGTAGCTTCATCCTGAAGCTGAACTGTCTTTACACATTCATGACCTGTACTGTCCTTTCTTTGGAACATCTTCTGATCCTGCTGCAGAGGGGAACAAAAATGTAATTAGGGGAACAAAAATGTAATTCAGATGACTCACAAAACAAGCATGCAGAATCTCAGACTTAAATGGTTTGAATGCCAACTTCAGGTTAGATTTCAACATGCTCTCTGTCCAACCCAGCTATCATAATTTCAAGAAACTTTCAGTAAATCACATCACATAGTCCCTAAGTTAGCAGTTAGGGCCATAAATAAGTTAAAAGCATGTATGGACCTCTAGTGGGTATTAATAGAAGAAAATTGACATGCTTTTCTTACCAAAACAGTAATTTTTAAAATATTTGCTTCATAGGAGGGATAACGCGTGAATTCTTCAAATAAGTAATCCCATTCTGTTGTTAAATGGCCTAAGATTTCCACTTCTTTCACATATATCACTCTCCTGTAAAAAAAAAACACTTCTTATTCAATTTCTCCCTGGGACTAGAACTTTGCTAGAAAAACTAAACAAAATGAAAACATTTGTTTAAGAAGGCATTTTTAATGCAGATTAAAAGTATCCACTCAGTCACAGTGGACCCATATTTCTTTAATACATTCTGAGACAGCCACTCAGTCTTTAAAATGCATAGGTGATCTAAGACATCACACACCATGAGCAGGCCAAGAACTGGGATTAGGAGAAAAGTGCACATTTATCTGAGGCTGCAAACAACTGAATTGCCCAATTATCATTCATGGCCTTTGTCAGTGCCTTGAAATCTTGTCCATCTGCAGCCTGAATTCTGAGATGTGCTGGTAATTATTAAAAAAACACACTGGGAAGCCTCCATGGTGTTGTTATGGATGAGCCTCTCTCACACATTCAGGCAAGGTGCAAACTGGTGACCTGTGGAATGTGGAGATCATAATCCTTTTCATTATCTAAACATATTTAGAAAGTTTTGAGTCCTCAGACTCAGGACTGCCAACATCTTAGAATTCTGAAACTTGTCAGATGAGTTAAATAATAATTTTCATGCTAATACAAAGACTTAAGACTTCATTTAGAATATTCTTTAATTAACAATATTGTAAACATGTATTATCAAACTGTTAGCTTACTGCTAACACTTATAACAAGCTAATTTTAAAAAGCAAAAACAAAGAGGAAAAAAAAAATCAATTTCCCTCCACTGTGATGAAAAGGTCACTGGTCTCGGAGTAAACTGTCTTCCCAAATTAGTATCCAGCACTGACACAACTAAATTACATTTTCCATTAAGGAATCAAAATAAAATATTTTAAAAATCAAAAAGAAAATAGAGAAGGAAAACAGATAGGCAGAGAACAGCAATCAGTTTAGACTTATCCAGATGTCTAATCCCCAAGCTGAAATCATGTCAAGCCCTTAGAAAGCATTTAAAATTTAATACCTATTGGTAACAATAAGGTTAGCTCTTCTGCCTCTTGGAATTGCACAGTGGTAACGATACACCTCTTTTTCCAACTTTCTGATGTGTAACTTCTGAAACAGAAGCAGAATATAATTCTGGGAATGTATAAAAACAAACAAACAAAGAAGCTGAGTCACTGAGAAATCTAATCTGTTCCACTCAAAGGTAGAACACTGACACTGCTGTATCAGACTATTTCTTCAGCTTTGCTTTCCTTTCTGTGCTAGTAATTGTTTAATAGTGTTCATTCTGCTACACTCCATGCTGCAGGCTTCATTCAAGAGTGAAAAGCCTGCAAAGGTCATGTATCTTTACAAGGTACATGACTCAGATCTTCAGAAAGAAATGATCAATTTACAAATTCTCAATGCACCTCAAGATCAGGCATCTGAAGCACTAAGTACATTATGACTAATCAATACCCAAAATATGAAGGTGTATGAAAGTGCAGATTAAATTACTCATCACATTTTGATTAGACAACTACAACTCAAGTGACAACCTAAAATACAGAAGTTTTGAAATAAAGTACTGAAGTGCTCCTAGGATTTTTTTGGCAATTATTAATTGATTTTTTTTCAGATTTCACATTCCGTACGTACTCTTTGACTAAGCATGTCAGGATTACAATATTCCATCAACAACACAGAGCAGCACAGAAGAGAGGCTCACAGTCAGCCCCACGTCAAGCTCCCAATAACACTGGATTAAAGGCAGCAAGACACAGAGTGATACCTGAATGTATTTGTGGGAAAGGAATACACAACAAAACATCATGCAGAAAAAGTTAAAAGTATGAAATTAATGATGTGCTACCAATGGGAACCCAGCCTCAAAGTGGGTGTGAGAATAAAACTGTGACAACTACTGGTTTTCCTAATTTGCAGTAAGTCTTTAAAAACAACATTTATAAAAAATGTTTAATTAGCAAAAATTAGCAAGACAATTATATAAGTATAAAGTCAATGCATATTAGCTTTGAACCCTCCAGGTCAATGCAAGCACCTTTTTTATGATACAATCTGTTTTAAGGGAAAATGGGCAGTTCCTGTGTAGAAACATGGGGAAACATAAGGAAGAGTGCCTGGATGCAGAGTGAATGCACTTCAAATCAACCTTTCACAGATGGGTGCCCCAAAACTGGTTTGATATTCTTCAGAGAAAAGTAAGATGACTTTCAGTTAATTTTACAGCTGTTACTGTACTGAATTTAGCCTCAATAACAGTAAATTCCTCAAGTTCTCATTCCTCAAGTTTCTGACAAACTAGTAATAACCTAAAGAGGAAGGACTAAAAAGTCACTATGTCTTTTAGTTATTTCTTGTAAATAGCAATTTCTTTTTTATTTCCTTAGATGGACCCATAAAACCCATGAGATGACAATAGTGGTTCCACTTGACTCCAAAGCTGCCTGTGATTAACAGTTTAAGTAACCAAAAGTGAAAGATCAGCTTACATAAGAATCAATTAAAAGAAGGTTTGACTCTTTTTTTATATTTGCATTTTATTTTCATATATTCAAAAGTTCAACAAATATCTTAAAGCATCGTCATACATCACAACTGGCTCAAAAAAATCCTTTAATCTCAAAAGTGGATGAATATTCAAGAGCTGAAATTAACAGCATCATGTTTTCCTGGACTTGCTCTCCAGTGATGTTACATTTTGAAATACATTTTAATCTAGTATTTTTCAGCAACCAAAACCATAGGGTCAACCAACATCTTCTAAAAAAAATATCCCTTTCTGACTATCTTAAAAATTTCTGAAACTGTACAATGTACATGAAGGGAAACAAAGATGCCAGAAACACTGCTCATTTCAAAGTCTCTTCAAAACATTAGAAGAAACACAGCAGCATATGACTAAAATGAAAACATGAACTCACATTTTATACCTGAACCTTAGCTCCTTCAAAAACAAGTAAAAAATTGAAGGAATAGAAAACCCATCACCATGTGAAGACTGTAATTCAAAGGCTGCAATCCATATTCTGAATCCTTTTGTTGAATATGAAGAACTTAGACATGCCAAATATTTAAATAGATTTATTCATAAGCATGTTTCTCTATTCAAACTCTAAGCTTCAGAGAGAAAGCCTGTTTCTCATAACTTCAGAAACAATCCCAGTAGTGTTTTTAGATGTTACATGCAATATGTTACCAAAGCAAGAGTTCCCACTGAGGCCTGTGCCTAAAAGACAGAGTATTTCTCAGAGATATTCTCAATACACCTGATAGATGCCAGCACAATGGTGGTTGCATTAGCAAAAAAGGGGGTTGCACTCGATGTAAATTATCCCATGATCTGCACACACAGATGTAAAATTTTGACATCTTTATAAAAGCTGTTATTTTTATGAGCATACTAGAGCACTTTGAAGAAGTTAACTTGTTCTTATTTTACACAGAAACGAAAGAACCAATGCAAATTCACACAGCAGAACATTGAGTCAAGCAGAAATAGAATCTGCAGTTTCCAGTATAGTCTATGCTCTGCCACACAACACTGTCTCACCACCCTCACTCTGTTCATAAGGTGTTCTGCATCCTTTATAAAGCTTCCATGCTTTAACTGGGATGTGGAAAAGAGTGATGCCACTGGCACTGAGTAAGTAAATAAGTGCCATCATGGCAGCCCTGAGGAGCTGGGTAAGCAGCAGCCCCTCACTGGGCACAGCCCGGCCAGCACAGGGCAAAGCTCCCACCACCTGCTCCAGCAAACCTCAACTCCAACACCCCTCAGACCATGATTAAAACACTTGAGAAATGATTCCTTGGGAAACAATCCTCCTAGAGCTGTCCTATTTGTCCTTGGAGTGCTCCAGCTCCACTGTGCATTGATGTTTTGTTAAACACATGGTGTACTACTCAGCCTGACTCCCAGCGCTGAGGTACAGCCTGCACCACGGCAGAGCTGGCTGCCCACATTTTGAATTGACTGAGCACATCCCTACACAGCCCACATACATTAGATCCAGCATTTCTGGGACAAGGAACTGCATAAACAAGTTTACACAACTGAACTGATCTACTCCACCTGGCTATGGACCTCAGTTTGCAGCAAAACCCCCACTTTCCAGTGGAAAAAGTACCTTTTCTTTTAAAACCTACATGTTTGCTCCTGCAAGACAAGCTCTAATGCCCACATTTCACACAAAAGTAATTAGGTAAAACATTTTTCCATCCAATCACCAGATGTTATTGAGGCATCTGTTCCATAAGGTAACCTTACAAGGTTTCCAGTCTGAGAGCCTGTATTTATTTTAAAGGGACATAGGCATTAAACGTAGTTAAAGTAGATGAGAAGGTGTAGGTTCTGATTAAACTACTTGTAACATAGGATGAAAAGTAGATCCAGAAATAAATAGCACTTGTACCTATTGTGATTAAATTTGTAAATGCACATAGGACTGACTTTCTGACTCATCTTTTTCATTAAATATCCCATTTCATGTAAAGACATTGTCTTTACATGCTTTTGCTTGCTAACTTTCATTCGAAAACAAAGCCTTCCCAACACTGACCTCTAGCACAAAAATCAAGAACAGTTAAACTCTCCTGTATCCCATTAAGTGATTTGTTGAAAGAAACAAACCACATTTAGTGAACTGTGGAGAGAATTCATTCCTGTTTTGTATCCAGTTCCCATCTACACCTTTTAAGAAGAATACAAATACTAGACGTGGAGGAACTGCATAATATCAAATTTTCTCTGTTGATTGTGCTACCTTTTCCTTTTTGCTAAATGTAAAAAACATAGTAAAAAACAAACAAACAAAAAAAAAAACTCAAGAAAAAAACAACAGCTTGTTAAGCGTTGCTTGCTAATTTCTAAGATGCTGTATTAGTAATGAAATTTATGGCATTGCTTTGTATAGAAATACATATATTCTTATTTATACATGTGTATGTGTAAACTCCTGTTAACAGCTGAAAGTTTATACTTATTTTATGTTGAAGAGCAAAACCCCTGAAAGTTTATACTTATTTTATGTTGAAGAGCAAAACCCCTGGAATTCTGTGAATAAAAACCAGAGTCAACTAAGCTAGCTGTATTTTTTAACTGAGCAAAGTTCATAAAGAACCAGCAGTAGTAACTTGAAGGCATAGTGGGTCAGCAGACGTGGAGCTGACAGGCCCATGGCATAGTACAGAAAACACAAGTACAGGTTTTCTCAGCATTTCTAAGAAATCCATACTTCTAGGTCATGAAATTACAAGCATTTTCCCAGAAGTAAATTCCATTCACTATCAGTATTTCAAATTTTGCTCAAGATGTTGCTCTGCCCCTCAGTCCACCGCCCTAACTCCAGGAGAGCACCAATAAATAAATAAATTCAAGATCTAACCTACTGTGATTCTTTTTTCCAAGTGCCTTCCTTTGTTGCCATTCATAAGGAGCTAAGCATCCTCAGAGAAATAAATATACAGAAAACAAACCCTCCCTGTCTCTCCCATCTGACTCAATCATTTAATCTTACTGAAGATGGTTATTCAAGTTTGTTTTCTGGGCCTGGACAACATGAAAGACTGATTTATTCAACTGCTACACCGAAAAGATAGAGAAGAAGGGGAGAGGACACAGTAAATGCAATCATGCCCGTTATTTAAATACTGAAGGCAGATGAAAAACCATGACAGAAACAGGCAAGAAATATGGAAAATGTTTACTCCATTATTCCAGTTCTTGCTGCATGCCAGGAGAGAAGGAGAAAGAAAAGAAATGTTAGAAATAGAACAGAGAATAAGAATTAAAAGACCATATACAAGCAAGTAGTAAACATCCAAGATTTGGTCTTAAAATGTTAATGTAGGCATTTCTTTAACTTTTTAGCAACAGAATAAGCATTTAAAGGTAAGTATTAAGAACACAAAGTCTGAAATACAAATTAACCAGATTCTGACTATCAACAACTTGAAAGCTCATGTTGTTCATCTTCCATATATTAGGTATATCCACATGAGAAAGCAGGCTAAATGTCCACACAGTGCCTATAGCTATGACAGACTGCTATATGAACAACATAAGGAAAAACCAAACAGCAGTATTTTGAAAATTCATGCAGTTTTTTGAACTGCTGATACAACCAAACAATTCAAGGTTTATTGCTTAGTTGCTTAGTCTATAAAAATTTGGAATTATCAAAATGGGGGTTTCTTCACATATTTAAATCTTAATCCTAATAATTCGTAATCCTACTACATTCTTCCAGAGCATGAGAAGTGACTACAGAACATAAAACAGATTAGACCATAAACCAGCAATGTGGCAGGTTCCATTTTGCATTCAGCTTACTCCAAGCACTGGGCCTTCCCTGCTATCCAGGCTTGCTTTATGAAATAGGCTGGGGCCAATTTTTACTTCAGATAATGAGTGCTACAGATTAATTGTAACTTAATCCTTCATGGAACCCTGCAGCTTAGAGAATTTCAACAGTGTTTACAATGCAAAACATACCTCAAATAAATCATATCCCTCAGCTTCCACCCTGTTGTAGGGCCGGATGATGCCATCTTCACGGATGAGGCGTGGGGGACGGAGATTTGACACTTCTTCAGTTGATTCTGCCACCCTGCCATACACAGCACAACATTATTCTGGTAAACTTAATACAATCCTGAGTTTCACCAATACATCTTTAAGAAGTCACCCTTTCACTTGCCACACATCCCACTTACACATCCTGGGTACCCTGCAGATATAAAGACACACTGCTAGTAACAAATCAAAAGTAGCACTAGCCAATTGAACAGCTACAGAATAAGCTGGAGAAGTTTATTCCCAAATGCAAATAATTTACTAAGGGTTCTAAAGTTTATTAACACACTACCCAAACATCCCATTAGAACACAAGGAGCCCCTGATGTGCACTGCTAACCAAATTTCATACTGGGAAGTTTTACTCTGAAAATTTCAGTGGTCTATTTTTCACAGTAAATTTAACTGACATTTCTCCTCAGAGGAAGGAGCAAAAAGAAAAAATGGATTAGTTACTGTCCACCTGAACTACAACACTGCAACATGTTCTCCAAAGCAGCAATTTCCTCATCATCATAAGATACATTTGTTACAGGCTACTGGACATTTCTCAACTTCACACATCATTCTGCTTTTTGTATTTAACAAATAATTGTGTGGCACTGCTGGAGCACTTTACCACTTGGTATCCAACACAGAGGGAGTACTTCAAGACTTCCTCTTGCACCATACCTTTGAATTCCCTGGAAGGTGCTGCTTGCCATATCTACAATGCCTCCTGTCGGGCGGGCTACCACTCCTACAAGCCCCTTTCCAATTCCTTTAAAGAATCCAGCTGCACCTTCTTTTTTAGCCCCTTTAAAAAAAACAGAAACAGAAAAATAAATGTTTTCATGACCTACTTAACCAGAGAATTAAAGTATTACTGCTAGAGGGGAACTGTTTTCTCTTGGAAACAGGCCACAGCCATTGATTGCACAGAGTCCTGTTGTACAAAGAGCTGCCTGTGGAAAGTCACTCACTGCTTCCTGATCTGCTCAGATACATCACTGGTCACTTAATACCTCACCAGACTCTGGAGGGCCCAGAACTGAGATGTTATCAAGATTCTTGTTCTCACACTTTCAGTCTGGACTATAGGCCAATAGATTAAGTTTTTATAGGTTGATAGTAAGAACAAAATATTCTGAAGATGCTAAGATGTACAAGTATGATAGAAGTTAACTATTTCTGTCTCCAAATTACATTGTTCTGGTGATATACAACTATGGGAGAACCAAAGGAGTGTTCAGAAAGCAGGTGTGGTCACCCACCCAAGAGACAAGGACTACATATCAAAGTACCGCACAAAAACTATAAAATACCACACAGTTACAATTGACTCCCAACACTCAAATCACTGCCACTTGAAGATTAATAAGAGGCATTTTAACCTGGATATTTTTCATCATCTATCATTTTCATGAAGTAACAGGAACAAATACTGACTTCAGGCATAAAACAAAATTTGATTTTTAAGAGTTCTCTGACCTTTGGAGTTCCAAAAAACTTTTTCAGCTGTCCAGCTGAAAGGTGATTTTTACTTTATTATTTTTACTATCTTTATTCTGGCTTCAGACAATAAATTGGGTACTACAGTAGGCCTAACAAAATACATCACAATGACAACCCCTCCTTAAGTCATACAAAGGTTTAAAAGGTGGTAAAGCCAATAACAGGTATAATTATATAACAGGCATATATTTGAGGAAATCATCATGCAAATTCATATTTGATTAAGAAATATAAAATCTTGCTATATCTTAGCATCACCATACTTGAATGGATATTTCTTAATACTACAAAATAAATTGCAAAGTATTGAGAAACCACTTAAGGACTTTGTGCTTACCTTCTACTGGTTTAGTGATGATGCCTGTCACACCTCCAACAACACCCTAAAGCAAAGATAATTAAGTTCCCAATGAGAAACTGGAACACTGTCAGTCCAACTGGGCAACCTGTTGTCTCATATCCTGATTTTAATATTTAATAATGTGAAGTTCAATATCAAAAACAGTGTTTGGCTGGAGGGGTTGGCTTTGTTTATTCTCTTTTTATTTTTAAGAAAACTATAACTGAGGGAAAGACTTGAATGACAGAATTGACTGCAAGGTCAAGTAAGGGCCCAGTTACCTTAATTACCTAACACATTTGTTGAATATGACTAAGTATTTATTTATTTGTACAATTCACAGGATATATTGTTATTTCCCATTTGAGATCCTAACTTCAATTCCTCAGGTTGACCATAAACATGACCTCAAACAGTACAGCTGATGAACTACACTGAGTCTCCTATAAACCCACTGTCTGTTTGTCTCTTCTGCTTAGTTAATTAACCAACAAAAAAGATACCAAACTTTCTTGCAGGTGACTTTCAAGCAGGTTGGCACATCAAACACCCATCTCCAAATCCATACCCGTAAGAGGCCTTTTCCTCCTTTGGCCAGGCTCTCCCCAAAGTCTTTTGGCTGCCGACCCATTTCCTCTCTCCTTTTCTGCTGAAATTCTTCATCCAGAGTAATGGCAGCCAAGCCTTTGCCAACAGTACCAGTGATCCTGGACACCATCCCTGCTGCACCACCTGAGGGAACAGGGCAGAGAGTAAAAGTTATTGTGCTTTCACAGTTTAAGAGCAGACAACACACAGGGAGCCAACAAGTTCAGAGCAATTTCCCTTCATTTTCAGTTTAGATATGATGAATTCACACAGAGCCCCACCTTGTCCATGGGAAGACTCCAGAATCTGATCTGATATCCGTACATACAGCAACAGGGAATACTTACAGCACTTCACTACATCTTACATAGCATAATGGATGAAATAGTGTTTTCTCTAATTACTATCAAGACACAGCTAACTAAAAATCTAAGGTAATTTTAACAGAACACTTCTCAGGCTTCACCAGATATTTTAGGACCATTAAAATTATGCTTCTGATTTATCCAGAGCATGTTACTAATTTAGTTATATAGGCAATGTTTCTCACATTGGTTGCTCAGTCTACAAACAGGTATTTAGATGGTCTCAGTAAATTATGTGTGAATGACCTATATCACAAATACTGGCAACAGTATGACAACCTTAAATGCTCACTAGAAAAATAATGTGGGAATTAACCAAAAAAGAACATTATGACACCTACCCACTGTGTGCCCAAGAAGACTTCTAACACCAATTACAAAACCTTCAGCAAATTCTTCAGGTCCTTGAACAGCACCCTAAAAATTAAATTTATTAGGAATAGCAGAAAACTGCACAATGATGTATCTGTTTCAAGAAAAACTAGTGATTCCTTTACATTGATGAAAGTAAGGCCATCTGAATAGGCTATTTCTTTGAAATTCACATTAAAAAATACTGCTGCCTGCCTGTGCAGGGAGTGGAGTACAGTGACAACAAACCATAACCCTAGCAGTACATTCAGACTTTACAATTATAAAGACACAGTTAAAGAATCAGGATCTCATACCTGAAATGGCTCATAGAAGAAAGCTTCAACTCCCTCAGACAAACCTCTGATCAACCCAAATGGATTTCCAAGAACATCTAATCCAAGTACAAGAACATACATCTGTTTCAGGAACTAAATGATAAGGGAAGAAAAAAAGGCAAACAACAATAGCAGTGTTATGAGCTGTTGTCACACACGTCAGAACCTAAGCCTGGTTCATTTTCTAATTTACTGCCCAAGCAAGGTGTTAGAGTGCCCAGCTAAGTATTTGGTGAAGAAAATGAAAATCTTCTTGAAAACACATACTCAAAATTTAACACAAAGGCTTGAAAAATAAGCTTACTTGTTCACTATAATGTCTAATAACTCTCGTCCTCAGTTGATCTGTCTTGTAGAACTGGTATTTAATTTCAAAGAAAGCAAGTCTGAAAGACAAGTGATCATACATTAGTTAAAGATACCCTTCTTCATTCAAATACATCTCTGCTTTCCTTCAGAGAATCCTGAAGACTATTGCCTTAAAAGGATTCCAAATCCCATCTTCCCTCCATTCCTCTCTTTCTCCTAAGGCTGTACAAACTTATACTAGAGTCAGACAGCAAGGTTTACCATGGATCCAATAATTAAGTGTATAGCAGCTTTAATCAAAGTATTAAACAAAAAACCCAAACAAACAACCCCAGACAATTTTACTTGCTTACTTGAAAATAAGATCATCTACATCTGTTAGAGTAGCTCCAATACTTTTCAACAGCAAATTCAGAGAATGGATGGCTATCATTTCTTCCCCCTTGTCTGATGCTTCTCCACCAGAAGCCAGAGACAAACTCAAATGCAACTGTCAAGGCAGAATTAGTAAAACAAGACAAATCAAGACCAAGGAAATGCCAAACCAAAGCAGACAGGTTGGGTGGTGCACATGAGAACGAATCGGTGATGAAAGTTGAGGAAAGCTATCATTTCATCTACTGATGATTTTTCTTCCCTTCTCCAAAAAAATCTAACTGCTTCAAGAGAGAAATTAAGATAATCCCATGAAAGTGTATTTTAATACAGTTTATGATACATTCCTTTATACAATATTTTATCTGGCTTTCAGCATTATTATACCCGTTGATTCTTCCCACTTAGTTATGCTTAAAGGTCTGTTAGTACTCATGGGCAACAGAGGAAGTTTTCCAGCAAAGGATTAAATTCTAGAGAATGTAAAATCCCCTCTAGAGATGTATTTACTGTAATGAATTAATTGGATGTTTTATTAACCAATAATCTCTCTATCACATACCTTAATTGGAGAAATATGGAAATGTTCAAAGAAGCTGAGCATTGACAGGTCTGTTAGGGAAGAGTCCATTAGCTCGGTGTTAAGTGCATCCACATCTTGCTGAATTAATTTAGACTGGTTTCAATATTTAAAAAAAAAAACAAATAAGTTAATTTCATCCATATATGTAATACAGTTAATCATATTATATCTAAAGGTAGTTATATATATAAATGAACAGTAGAAAAAATAATCAAAGTTAAATACAGTTAATTAATTAGTGAAATATGAGTGTACTAATGAATTCAGGGATAGAAAAAAAAACCCCAAACAACCCATAACAAACACAAAATTCTGGGTGATTTTTCCATTTTATATTATATTGACATTCACTTAAATTGCTCAATCACTTATTGTCTCATTCCAGCAAAAGTCAGTTTCTCTCATACATTACCCTTCGTCTTTCAGCTTCTGGGTCTGTAGATGGAGTGAAAAGTTCACTAAGTGCTCCTAAAAATCCTTGATCAATTTTCAGTGCCATTTCCTGGATAAGAACCATGAAGTACCTAAAATGGGAAAAAAAGTGTATACTTCTATAAATTTAACTTAAATATTACATGCTTAGCCTACACAAGTGAAGTCTTGCTATGCAATGTCACATATTAGAATTTAGTTTATTAACTGTTAATTTATAGTTAGAAGTGATTACTGGCCAGCACTGCACAGCAAACAGACACACAGCTCTGACACTGTAGTGCAAGAAAGAAATAATTCTGATTCCTAAAGAATTTGCATAACAGTCCCTTCACGTGGTCAGTCCTTATTTTCGAAAAGTAAGTTCCTTTTTGAACAATGTTTTTTTTCCCTGGAGACATTTAAAAACTCAATCTGAAGTCAAGAGTGGTTTGGATAGAACAAACTTTAGAACAAAGTTCCCTTCTAAAATACATTACATCTCTAAAATCAAATTACAATACACTGTTACACTCACTTGAACTGCAGGACTTGGCTGTACTCATTGAATCTAGTGATGATGCTGATATCAATGAAGGGTTTTGGTTCTAAAGAGAAAAAAACACTTAAAAATAAATTGCCAAGCCCCTACTTTCAAGGCTGAGTAAATCTGATATTAGTATAGGCTTTCTCTTACCTGAATCCAAAGCAATCGACTTGGGAGGGGCCACAGGGTGAAATACAACAGGAAACGTCGATCCTGGTAATTGATTATCTACCTAAAAAACATTGCATAATTACAGGAATATTTTAGTGACATGATAATCAAACACAGTTCATATTTTAGAAGACTTGAGTAGCTTGTTTATAAATTGTGTTGAAGAGAAAAAGGATTACCGTGGTATCATTGTGGAATGTTACTCATTGAGTTAGAAAAGGTGAGATGGGTGCAAGTGCTGCACAAGGGATGCTTAGAGAGGTTCACACCCACAAAGACTCAAGGTCTGCAGCTGATGGCACACATTGACTGCATAGTGAAAACCACCTTCAGGCACAAGTAAAAACAAAATGAAAGGTAGAAGGAAAGGGCAAACTTCCCCACCAGCTGGTCAGAAAAAGCACCAGGATCCTCAGTGAAGGGCAGCAAATGGAGATGAAGATGGCAATGATGATCACTCAACATTATTTCCCTCTAGCACTGAACAGTTCTCACTAGTACCTGCTAAAGTGCTCCACTGGCAAATTTAGCAACACTATTATTACTGACTGGACTATGCTGATCTGCTGCAAGTGTTGTACATTAATTCAGTGTTAATATTAAAGTAGATACATTATTGCATACTATTTTAGCATATTTAAATGTCTGTTCTCTACTTTCCATTAGACAAACTGTTTTTGTACTAAAGGTCTCTAAACCCCTAGATATGCTCTGTAGAATAATGTTACACTTCTGTGTAAAAACTACAGTAAACAAATTTTGAAAAAGGTTGAGGTCTGCTTTAAAACACCAAAACACAGCTCCTTAGAAATTAACTCTTCATCATAGCACCCTCCTTTACATTAGCACACAGATTTGTGGGATTCTTTCCATACTATTTGCAAAATCCTAGGATGACAGTTCAGCAAGACTTTTCCATCCCAGCATCCCTGCTACTCTGCTGCAGTGAGCAAAGCACTACATGCACAAGATTTGGAGATACTTCTTCACATAAAAGAATAAAATTAAAGCCTAATGTGTGTCTTTAGTTTCAAAACCAGAGGAAGGAGTGGTACCTGCAGCCAATACAACTGAGCCCGTAAGCTTCTTTGGTGAGGTGATTGTTTGAATTCAACCTGAATTCCTGACAGGAAGTTACGGCGGATGCTGCATCTGACAGGGAGACGCATTTCCATTGGAGACTTACTGAAATTCACCTGCAAATGTAAGAGAGCAGAGCTAAGATACAGTTTAATTTGGGAAACTATAAAATGGTACATTACTAGTTAACAGACTGGCAAATAAACCCTGTGGTTTTCTTTATTATCAGATCACAAGGCTACTGAATTTCTCCATCTAATTAACTGCATGGAGAGTAGTGAAAGCCACCAGTCAGTCTGACAAGGACATTACATTGCAGCTTTAGTTGTCCCCACAGGAAGCTCTGTGTCATCTAAGTAGCTATTTCTTCATGAGTTATATATTACACTGACATAATTAAAGGTATTTATATGCAGATGACTACTTTCCCAGCTGACATTTTTCCCCTGTTCCTGAAACTTTTAAGTTAAGAGAAGCAGAAGCATAAACCTCTCCTTTATTGTGAGTGAAATGCAATCACCTACAGATAAAAGATTTGATACGATGTACTATAAATGCACAACTGCAATGGTCAAAACTCGAGTATTCAAAGAGCTGAGGCTATAGACATGTTTTTCAAATGAAAGGATGATACAGGAAACAAGCCTGACTATGGTACTATAAAATGATTGTATTGGACTTAGCCATTTGAATACACTCGTTATGCATGGAATACAGCTATGTATAATTAATGTCTGAACAAGCTCAGGTAAGTGGATTAATTTCAAGTCCTTGAACACTGCAGACTCCTTTACCATATCAAGTAATGGAAACTGCATCTTATTAAGAAGCTAAAATCAAAATTTCTGCTAAGAATTCAGGGTATATACCACAAATACAGGTTCACAACTAACATGTAGACACCAGTAATCTTTTTCACCACACAAAAGAAAAATCGTTTGAAATTCTTACTTCATAATACAAGCCTGGATAATACCTCAGTATCGCCTCAGTATCACCACAAGACGAAAACATTCTAATGTGTAAAATGTGCAACTATTTAAATAAGTATCTTGCCTCTTGTTCCTGTCTCTCTTCACACAGCATCTATCCCAACTTAGCAAACCAGAAATCTGCTTTAACTGCTGCACTTGTTCTGCAAGCATTTAAACACTGAAACTCAATCCATACCTCAGTATTGCTGTCCAGTTTATGCCAGCCAGGACCTTGGAAAGCACTCTTGGAGAGATATTTTTGATATGCTTGTTCCAATAGGTTTATTTGCTTTTGATTAAATGGTTTCCACTTTTGCCTTGGTTTCTGTTCCCAAACAACATCAGAACTGCAAAACAAATAACAAAGTTATTATCAGTATAATCATTTCAGAGTACTTCTACTTTTCTTCTGCATGCAAACCCTGTAATGTATATTTTTCTAATTTCTCAGTCTCAAAAAACCCTATTATGTCTTTTTTTAACATAAGCTAAAAAAAGGAGGCAGTTAAATCCTATTGGTTCTATTTCCACAATAGGAGGAAATGCAAAACTTAATTTTAATTAAAAATGTTTATCTTAATTAAACTTGAAACATATCCCCTTTAACTCTATTGCTAAAATTATAATATGCTGGGAAATTTTGATTATTCAAAGGAATATTTACACTTCCATGTGCAGTACCTAGTAATTCCTATGTAAGAGATTTCTTTTTTATTTTCATTGTTAACTAGAGAAAGTCCAAGACTATGGATTGACAGGTTTATTTCTTGATCAGGTTGCTCCAGCTCCTCTGCCTGCCGTGCTTTAGAAATCAATGCCACATCATCTGTGAAAAGCAGCACTCGCTGGCGTCCATCCAGGAAGGACACCCAGTGAATTTGAGTATTTGCATTGTAAGGGAACTGGCCACAGTCATCCTGTATTAGGGGGAAAAAAAGCATATTACATGAGTAAATCCCTGATGTTGCTCTATGTGTATAAGCAAGTTTACAGACAAACACAAACCAGAACTCAGTATTTTTCCTGTTTGTTCAGCTCACTGCATTGTCCTGACTTGGTTGCACCTTGTACCCTAACACTGGAAAGAAGTTTTGAGATCAGGATATTTTCTTCCCCCCTTTTGTAAACTAAACATTCCAGCAGTATTTGTGGCTTAGAATAATATTGGAAATCATCAGGAAACAAAGGCCTTCAAAGCAAAGCAAAATGCTTGTAACCTTAGTAATGGCAGAAGAAGGCTATAAATCATATAGCATGAAACAGTAAAACCACACAATTACCAGACAATTGGAATAGTCCTAAATTAGTTCAGCTTTTACTTCTCCCCTTATGAAACTTACCTTAAGTAGGTCATGTTCACCAAAACTTTGAGAGTAACCCCAAGTAAATTTTCTCGGTTTGGTTGGATCTGTCCAGGCAAAGAGGCATACTTGCTTTGGTTTCAACTCCATTTCCTCTTGTAATCCACTGCAGGTTAAAAGAAAAGGTGAAAATAATACAATTCCCTGGTTAAAAGCACTGATGGAAGTGGTGCAAACCCCAGTACTAAACACTCCACCCCTCCAGCAGCAAGGCATGAAGGGACTAAGCTATTCACCCCATACAAATCCAGCTGTAGGCTCATAAGCTCTTGGTGATACCCATGCGATATTTTGGTGATGTTTAACCAGGATATTCCCTGGTTAAACAAGCAATGGTGAATTGTTTCTTTCACATACCTCTGTTTATATCTGAGAGAGTCCCATGGGGTGTGGTTAACAATCAGAGCTGGGGCAGCTCCCTCGTGGTAATCCGTGAAGCTTATCACAGTAGAATGTTCTGAGACATTCACATCTACCAGCAAGCCCCCATTCTGAAGAGAAAGCCACACAAAGCCCAGTTCATTAATTCAAGTAGAACATTAGTAATTAAGTAATACATTAATGCAAGTTAAAACTAATATTTTGATTTATACCCAAAGACTTTACTGAACACAGTACCTTTATAAACACATTCCCTAATGCTAGGTTAGGGTGAGCTCTGAAATTATAACATTCTTCATTTGAGTCAAATTAATTTAACCATGAACTGTGTGTCTCCAACATGTAATAGCTTATCAAGAAATCCTAAAATAGACTGTATTTTTGTTACCTATTTAAACAAACTGAAGGCACCCAAGACATATCCTCTGCAGAAAGCCCAGATGTCAGAAGTGCAGTAAACCATTGTAACTTAATAACAATAGAGCTGTTCAGTTTCCTGTAAGCTTGTCACAAGTAAATCAACTTGACTAAACAGCTATGAAAACATCAGCAACACAACAAACTTGACTCATAACTTTTTTTACACAATGGAACTGAATGAAGTACAGTGTACCCATAACTTAAGACACAAGGTTTTGATATTGATGATTTCATTGAGTCAAGCTACCATAGGGCTAAAATGGAGAATTAACAGCAGGCTACACAAAGTAAGTCTCACCAATTCTTCCAGTTTCAGCAGAGTACCATTATCCTGGGCTTTAAACAGGAATGGTTTGGATGAGCTTTCAAAGCCAACTACTCTTACACAAAGTTCACCAGATGAGTTTTCAGGCCAAAATGGAAGGCACTGTAAGACAAGAAATACACGTGACTTAAACATTTCATATATGTCCAATATGGTAACCCAGCAGTAAATCAAACAGATTTGTGTGGCTAAGACTATTTCACATGCCTTAGTTCTTACCCAAGTATCTCTTGATGAACATATCTACATCTACACTAAGTTACCTAAACTGAAGGACTTGATTAATGTACCAGCATATGCAACCTGTACTGTTCAGGTTCTGTTGGGATGTGAAATATCCACGTCATGCCATCAGAAAAGACAGCATCCATAAGAGAACTGCTCTTCCCTGAAGTGACACCTAAACACCAGTTGTTTGCCTACAATGACATCAAAAGGAAAAAACATGAAACATTACCTCTGAAGCTGAGATGTAATTCCATTTATTAGTTGGAAGAGAACCATTAGGACCAATTTCTCCAACTTCAAGTTCCAGAGAAGATTTGTTTGCTATTGTGTAGAATGGTGTGAAGGTAACTATCCTAGTAAGGTTGAAACTGCTCATTCTGATGCTAACTCCAACCTGTTGAACAAGGAGAATTTAAGCAAATCATCAACATCAAGCTAAGAAGAAAAGTCAGGATGGAAAAAATAGGAAAGCAAACGTCAGTGTAATTACGTTCTGTCCACCTGAAGTCAAAACACCAAACATGCAGTAAAACCAGCAGATTACACAACACAACTAACCCAAGAGTAAAGTGACAGGCTTAGCATTTTGCAGCTGTAGCTTTTGTGGGGAAAATCCACCAGAAATCCCTCTAGAGTAAAGCATGACAACTTAAAATGACCATTATCATCAGAAAACAGTTAAAGAGTACATGAAAACAAACTCCCCACATCTCTTTACTCTGCTTAATTGTGGAAATATAGTCTTGAACGAGGAGTGCAGATCTGAACACTTGCAACCAGTTGTGAACAATTATCTCCACTATGCATGTTCACCATTGTGTTTTCAAACAGCCAAGCACTACACATTTGTAGAAAAGAAGTCAAGCCAAAAGAACCTAAAGAGAGCTTCACAAATCACTGAAACAGGTCTTACCAGATAGTCCATGTAATTAGTTGAACACCTGACACATCCATAGCTTCCTACAGTATCGAGGGAAAAGCTATTGGACCAAGTGCTAGTTGAAATACAGAGCTGGATCTACACACAAAAAACAACAACATGCAAAATAATTCAGTAAACTCATTTTCATTCTTTAGTTAATGCATTATGGAATGCCATTTTATAGCACATACAGCAATGCAAAAACAACATTTCAGTGCTTTTAACACGTTTCATAAATTAGAACAATCTAAGAATGTAGTATCACTATTCACATTCTGATTTATTAATCTGTGATCGAGTTCTGGGAAAGATGTTACAGTAAAAGGTATCAAAGGAGAGTAGTCCTCATTGATTCATGCTCATGACAGCACACATAGTGGGAAAAAAGCCCACAACTTTGTGATGCTTCAAAAAAACTTGAAGAGATGGAAAGAAATAATCAAATGAGCACTGTTTTTCAACCATTTCTTCAACTATCATTAGGTAAAAAAAGTTATTTAGGAGGAATGAAGGGCCACTTCCAAAAAACCTTCTACTGCAGTACTCTTCACTTGACCATGTAAACATCATAACAAAATCAAAACAAAAGGAATGTGTTTAACACAAAACAGAATTTTTATAATGTGCATTTCAAATGTCCAAGTACTAAAGAAAGCAGCAGTCAAATTAGTCTTTAGACTTCAAAACTACATAAAAATATTCCTTATATAAAATGTGTGTATGTTTTCCCCCTCAGAGCATGGCCTAAAGACTGCCATCTAAAGTAAGCATACCTTGTTCTTACTAAAGATATTTTTCTTTTTAAATGAAAACAAAACAATATCTCTGTAGTCTGCTGGATGCTTCACGTGAGTGTCTTCAGCTCGGTACTGGAGAACACGGGAAGTCTTGTTGATGATCCAGTAGGGACTGAACACGGACAAGACCATATGGCTGCCGATCCGCCTGGAATGGATGTAAACATCCACAGACATCTCTGAGACAGAATGAGATGTGAAACGCACAGGAAAAAATTCAGGCATCCCATCACAAATTTTAAGATGGCCATTCCAGTCTTTGCCTTGATATTTTAACAACACAAGCTCCATTATTTCTCCACTGATTCTTGAATGAAAAACATCTGCAGCGCTCCCTTCAGTTAATTCACGGGCTTCTGCGGTTCCCTGTAGCAAAATCAGACAAGGCAAATCAAGTTCTCAACTCATAAATTTTAGGTGTTCAAGAACCAGCATTTTATTCTCTTGTAGGATATACTTTTCAGACACCTCAGTAATCCATGTCCTAATCTCCAATCACTTTCACTTGAGATTGAGCCTGTGAATCATTTGAGATCAACAGCACTTGCAGAGCAGTAAAGACTGCTTAATTCTGGATTTCAGGAAGGCAAACTAGTTCTAACATATCCCCGCCCCTTCTGCCATACTATTTGGTAGCACAACTTTGCTCAGGCAGTAGCATCCAACAACAATAGCTTTCCTAATTTTTACTAATAAATGTTTTTACTGATAAACCTATATTTTACTGTATGGAATAGTGGCCAGGCTTGATTAGCCCAGGGATGTGAAGACAACGAGCACAAACCCCTGTACAGGCACAGTGACTTCAGAAATAGATATGAATTACTGGTTGCCAGCTCCTCAGACAAGGCAACAGCACTCTGTCCTACATTCTGTTAATCCAAGTACTGAAGCAAAATGGAGGTGAAGAAAAGTGGGAATAGTGCCACTGGGATGTTGGATAGAAGTGAAAGAAAGATCTAAATGAATGCCACAGCCAGTTATGCAAGTAGGACAAAACAGAACAAACAAGGATGGTGGTTCTAAATGCTCACACCTGTTGTATTTACTAAAATCACTCAGCCTTAATGAAGAAATACTAGATACTGAAAATACTGAACAGACAGGAAAATAGTCTGTGTAGCATCCTTCGAAGATTCTTCCAATTTGTGCAAGCAAGATCTCACAATACTCATCAGTGTCAGAATGGAGAGAATTTGCATTTTCTACATAGAAAAACAAAGCTCTAGAAATTAGAGATGCTTTCTCTTATACCTCATCTTGTGAAGCTAAAGACAGCTTGCAAAATACAAACAGAATCTCAGAAGAATGTAAAAGAAAAAGACTAATCCAGTACAGGATTGCTGTTAAAGGAGCAAGACAGAGCTGGCAAGGTACACACAAATTTGAAACAATCCCCAAAATGTCCAGAATCAATTATCTGCCTCATTTATTTACAACAGAAAGTACAAAACCCAACATTCATCATCCTCCACAGTACATTTACCTTTACTTCTAAGTAAATATATTCTTACTTAAAACCAATTAAAGGATTTACAACTAAAACCATAAAGTAACTCACCTCAAGTAAATATCTCAAGGAGTATGGTAGAAGATTCCTCACAGTCAGCGTAGGGTAAAGGTGGATAATGTAGGCAGGATCCAACTCCTCTACAGAACTTGAAATAAAATTTAGTTCATCAGGTACAGCTGTTGAGCTGATTATTAGAGGCAAGAAACTGGTTTCAGTGGCTGGGCACTGTAACAAGCACTTGACTTCATTGCTTCTGTGTAGCTCTTCCCTCCAGGCAATGTAAGTTGTAGACTCCTTGAACTGACCCTCAAATATTCCTGTTGGTCGGACATACAGATGACATCTGCAGGAAAACAGCAGGAATTGTACACAAAGGCTTTGCACTGACACCTAACTTCATCCATTTTAAAGTCATGGCTAACATTCTGAAGTGCTTTTGCAGCACACTCATTACCTAACAAAGACAGCACTTTGGAATTTTAGTCCAATCAGGAAGACTTCCACGTGCAAATTAAGGTTTCAAAACAACAGTTGTGTTTGTGCATCGGTGTCACAGAGACTGGCCCTACAGAGCAGGGGAAATGTACCTGTATGAATGCAGAGGAACATGAAACTCCTCTTCTGGCTTGGATATGCCAATTGGCTTCAGGGACTTGGAGCCTTTAGTCAGTGTATAGATCACAAATGGAATTGAGAAATGATTCTTAATCTAGAATCAAAATGAGTAATTTTTCATTACATTTCTATGGCACAAATTTCTGAAGGAAAAAGTATCAGTAACAACATGGAAAACCAACATTAGTAGATTTAACCAAATTCCTCTAGAAAACAGAATTGAGCTGTCTTAATACACAAGTATATGAGAAAACTCTATTTAAGTCCCATGAATTGAAAAACACACTTAAAATGTCACATAGCATAAAAAGCATCCCAAATGCTGAGGATATTAGAAAGCCAAACAGAAAAGGGAAAACCAAAGGAAAATTCATGTAACAAAATACTTAGTAACTGGCTTTTAAGTAACATTTTGGAAAAGTTTGATCTCGAAAAAGTGCATTAAGGAAGACAAAGAAGGTGATTCATTTCAGAGCAGTGTTTTCAAGGGTTTGGTTTCTGTGGCTGGGTTTTTACCTGCAGAGGGGAGCGCACAGTAATGACCTTATTCCCTTCTGTAGCATCAATCTGCACAACAATGGAGTCTGAGCGATCAGCAGCCTCCCTGACATTGTACAGGCGGCGGCCCGGCTTGGCCACGGGAATGCTGAGCACCTCTTTATATCCCTGAAGTTCTGATCCATAAAAAGAGACAAAAGTATTTATCAGCAACACAAATCACATTACTATTTCTTATTTGAACAGTACTTAAGCTTCTCAAAACTCAGCAACAACCAGGACCAAAGCATCCTCTGGCAAAAGCACCTTAAATAAAAAAAAGCACCTTAAGTAAAAGTGGTACTTGGGTACCACTGAAGGAAAGTTTTAGGGTCCAAATACTCCTCAACTCCACAACTTTATATTATTATTTATATCCAGCATGGGAAATACTGCAAACAGTTATCAAAGGTATTGATTGGCTGAGTTAATGAACACAGAACAAGCTTTCTATCATGGCCAAGTACCTTCATATGGGATGTGATGGAAAGGGAAAAACTCAAGATGATTACATATTAGTAGGGAAAAACTCAAGATGATTACATATTAGTAACTTGTTTTCTTAGGAATATTTCCTGGCAAAGCTAAAAACAGAAATCATAACTGGTCTCAAGTAGCTGGGTAACTACAGAAAGCTAAATAAAAGTAGTGATAGAAGAAATAGAAATCCTGTTTAACAGGAGCTAGAACACACAGGCCTGTGTCACAGGAGCTTCTATTTTTTTATTAGCATCAATATTCAAAGGTAATTCCAATGCAATGCACCTGACCTGAATTTCTATCACATTGAATTTAACTCCCATCATCCTATGCACAGCCTGTCATAACAAATGATGCTCCTTAGCATAATACCTAAATTTAAAGAGAAGACAGAGCTTTCCTGTCGGTACAATGCAGACAACCTTCCTCGCTGGGGTGCTTCAAAAACAGAGTATTCCAGTTCCATGCTCTGACCAGTTTCTATTTCATTCATGTTTTCTTTTGCAACTGAATCCACTATCCGAAAATTGGAGCTAGGAAGAACTTTCAGAGAAACACCCAGGGCATTTTTCACTACGAAAGGTGCTGTCTCTTTAAAGGAATAGTCAAAGGTGGATGCAGTTGCTTCTGAAAATGCCTGTAAATAACAACATATACAATATGTCATACATAAAAATAGCCACAATAACATATCTATAAGAGCTTTAAAAGACAGTTCCCAGCAACTACCATTTTAAAGAGGGGAGGAATTATATACAACAAGACCTATGTTTTGTATAGTAATATTTCAGGCAAGTACAGGTTACTTCCAGAAAATTTAATTTTATTCTGTGATTTGCAGCAAACGTTGATGCTACAATAAGCATTCTTGCTCCTCACAGAAAATTTTTCCAAATTTTAGGTTGTAAGAGAAACATAAGATCTGGGACATAGAAGTCACAAAGAGATGGAACATGTACATGCTCCAAATTCAATCACAACTTGTACTTTGGTTTGGTTACACAGAAGCCACAGTAACTGACTGCTGATACATATTTACAGTGTAAGCAAGTACTTAGAGAACTGCTGGTTATTTAGATTTAAAAAATTAATGGGCATAAGTCACATTCTGTAAAAACAGTTTGATTTAGTGACCAAAATTTCTTCATCCCAGAAAAAAAGAAGGTGGGAAAAGCAGCCTCAACAATTCATATGCACAAAAAATAGAAGAAAAGAAAATTAGGGGTAAAAAGTATTTTTAACACTCGTGACATTCTACTCCTGCAGTTTAAAGGTCAATCCTAAAATATACACCTTCCTTAGTATTTATTCAGTTAAGCAGAAAATATGGAAAGGAAGTAAATCTGTTTTAATATTTCAGAAGGAGTATTGTAGGAAAGAGCTGTGTTTATTAGAGCATTTCACGTTCATTTAACCTGCACAAATGACACTTCCTTAAGTCCTGCACAGACACGTTTGTTGTTCTAACACAGAAGTTACTTCTTTCAAAAGATAACATCACCTTTTTGCTGAGCCTAAAGGAGTCATCCAAGCAAAACTCCTCAGCCCTTCAGGGTAACATTGGTCAGAGCTACAGAACAGCCATTGGCTGACAGCCAATATAGTTCTTAAAACAAAGAAAATTCAGAATTTCCTATGGAAGTACACAGCATCTTCTGCCTGTTAGGATTACCTTGGCTAGGTTACTGAAAACAGCAAGACAACATTTGGATATTGTTATATTCATGGTATCCATCGAAGAGATATTAACTACAGTTTGTGGCTCAGGAATAACAATGAAATCATCCCCAGGCAGCAGACTTCTCTCCTGGACAGGGTTAGTCCTCATCTAAAAGAAAAATTTCATTAGACAATTGCAAACCTATAGATCACTTTCTCCTATATTAAAACAGGAAAAAAACTACTTGACTTACACTTGACAATTTTGCAAGCAAAGTAATATCTACTTTACCTTGCAAATCTCAGATGCTTTAAACAAAATTTTACACCAACACAGAAGGCAAGTTAGTTTCTCTTCTCTGCATGGGTTACATGCTTCATTTTGTCCATGCACTGAAAATTCACATTATTCCAAAACTCTTAAGATCTCTAAAGAATTATTTTTTCTCATGTAAAATGAGGTAATAGCTCCTTCAAGCAACAGCATTCAAAAGGTCAATGCCTCATAAAACCCTTAAGAAATTAAAAAATAGCTCCCTATTCAAACCGTTTCACATGGTGTCAAGTGTCTTTACATACCTCCAGCTTTAAATTCCATTGTTTCTTTCCTCCTTCGACTCGTTCAATAAATGGCTCCCACACTGCATAGGTTTCATTGTAATAATGAACCTAAATAAATAATCAAAATTAAATAAGGTATCTAAATACAAAGCAATTATTATGAAAAACATTAATAAGAAAACAAAAAATCCTCATTTCATGCTTCGGAGGTCTAGTATTAACTTTTAATCAGTTTAAAATCTAATATACAGAAGTGTAATATATCATACATTTTTCACAAATTACCATTTTTTGTAGAGTTTGCCATTTTTGAAGAGTTCATTCCCTGGCTTGCTTTGAGAGCAACCAAGCATCCTGGCAACACAATATCTTTTTAACACTTTCAATTAAAATAATCAAGTCTCTTATCTTCTCCCACATGGTTTGAGAGAATGACTTTGAGACCAGGAACTTCAACGCCACAAGTACTTTATTGTACTATGAAATAACTTTTAGTTTGAGCCAACTATCATCTGCATCTGGTCCACTGGAATGATTCCTCTAACTCATAGCCAACACCAAGTTTTAAATTTGCTTCTATCATTGAAAATATGAACAGAGGCTGTGGATTCAATAGCTCTGGATGTTCCCTTTCAGCTATTTTGCTCATCCCTTGTGGAACCACAGTGGCACACAGCCATCCAAACTCCACCATGATACGCACACCTGGCAATGGAAGAAGGCTACTTGTATATCCAAGAGAAGAATGAAGAATGAGGTAATTTGGTTAAATGACAAGGGGTAGTAAATGTATTGCATAGAGCAGCTGCATATCTGGTTGTATGAAATTTTAACATGCTGTCTCAATAAGAGACTTTTACCATCTTTTACCATGGTGTCTCATTTTGCGACAAGAGTGTAACTTCTACCTTACCAATGAATACAGTGCTGGAGAAATAAACCAAAGGGGGCAGTAAGAGTTAAATGGGAATATTCAAGTAAGCCAAACTCATAGTTCACACAGCAGAACCTGAATATGCAAAAACAATACTGAAACAGAGGACTAGATTATTTCACATAGCAACTGCCATTAAAATCTATTGAAATCCAACTTTCTGTACAAAGCATGTTATGCTTACTTGCCTGACTAAAGAACGCCTGAGAGTATTACAATTTAAACTTATTATTAATTCAGCACCGATTAAGTGTATTAAAAAATTACTTGAACACAGGAAATCTGCAGAAGTGTTTTAAGCTGCTAACAGTTTGACCCCACATACCTCCAATGACATATCAGCAGTGACCTCCATCAGTGAGGACCAGTTTTTAAGAACACCTGAAAATGTAGATTCCACTAACAATAAAGGGACAGTTCGATGCCCCAGACCACATTCCAAGGTCATCTGAACAGATTTCACTACGATGTCAAACTTCTCTTGCTTCAGAATTTGTTCACGGTCCATAAAAGTTTCTGTTGCTTCTGTGGCTATGTCAACACCAAGAAACCAAGCATTGCACTCGTCTACAGGCTTCACTTGCCACAAATTCTCAGAAACTTCTGGTGCTCCTTTAGAATCATCCTCAGCTGTTTTGGGTTTTAGGGCAGCCATAATGGTCACGACAGTATTCAAAATTATTGGTGATATCTCAAACAAAGAAAAAAATCTTCTATTAAAATACAAGATCTATGATAAATGGAAATAGCAAACATGAAACGTCTTTTAAGAGATGTAACTTAATTTCCAAAGAAAAGAAACCATTCATGGCATGGACCTCCTCTTGTTTTTCCTTTCCTGAAAAATATCCCAAAAATAGTGGTGGCAGCAGCAGGGGGAAGAGTTACTTCGTAAGGAAGTGGTAGAAGGAATCCTAGAATCTGAAGTATTTAAATTATTCCTTTTTGGTCAAGGGACTATCAAAATAACAAACATAAAATTACTTTTTCTAACACAGAGCAGCTCTAAAATGCATATTTCTGGAACTGAGCTAATGGGCAAATAAAAAATGTAAATAACAATATGCAAACAAAATAAAATATTAAAAAAAATAACATTAATAAAAAAATAATTCAAAAAACATACACACAACAACAAAAACCAAGCTACAGCTTGAGAAGCATGGCTGTTTTTCCAAAGACATTTTTAATAATCTTACCTTAATAGTTAGTTCCTCTATTGTTACTGCCACAGTGTGTAACCCTGAAGTGTGCACCATATTTTCCATGACCAAGGAGCACGGCCGCAACACCTGAGTGAAAAACAATTTGATTTGTAAGGTGGCTCCTTAAATCTAACCTTTTCATAATGTCTTGTGGTTTTTTCACTCCACAGGCCAAAGGGGCACTGATCCCAGGAAGCAACAAAATGCTACAGAGCGAAACCATTCCATACAGTGCAAGAATCCTGCATCCCAATTTGCACAAGCACCATTTTTTACTGGAAGGTTAAAAGCCAGTGAAATAAAAGCTTCTGACACAATGCTTAAAAACCAGACAAAAAAAAAACCCAACACACAGACTGTGATAACATAGTAAAAAAATCCCTGGATCTTTAAAAAACCTAAATGCATAAGGGAAGATAAGTACATGTGAGATGAACCACCCAGGCCACCTTTGTGGCTCAGTGCTCCCTTGGCAGGAATGTGCATATGAAGTTCCAAACAAAAGGGTGCTCAGGATTTTACTGCAACAATGAAAACCAACAGGCAGTGGAAAACACTGCCAAAGGTTTTGGGTTTCAACACCCCTCAAACACTTTCTTCACTAAGAAACTTTTAATGTAATTTACAAATGCACAGCACAGATTTTAGACAGAGCTCTAGGAGCTCAAGTCCTGCACCTACTGATAAAAGATTCACTTTTAAATGGCACAGGCCCTTAGTCTCTTCTGAATAATCAGTGATATGAAAACAGAGTTTGGAGTGCTATATATATGCCAGCTAAGGGACATGCCTGCCACCAGATAATTCTAATTACATTTTTCATCATGAAACACTGGTTTCCTTACCGTAGTAACGTTCTTGCCTTGTTTTTCTTTGAGAAAGGCACAGGCCAACACTTTGAAGGCCTTCACTTGAGCAGTCATTCTTTGTGCAAGCTTGTCTGATGTCAGAAAAAAGTCACATTGGAAGGAAACTTTTAAGGCAGGGGCATCAGCATTGGTCAAATTAGCAACAAATACAACTTCTGGATCCATAATCACAGCTTTTACTGTCATGTTTGGCCGTACAGATATTTCTGTGAAAATAAGTTCAAAAACACACCTTGAATATGAAAACCAGAAAGAGGAAAGCTATCTACTGTATTAGTGGCCAATCTACACATTTTGAAGAATAAACTAATTTCTTTAGTCTGATACCAAAACAGCGTCTTCAAAATTTTGCATGAATTATTTTCAGAATGAAATCTGCAAAGGAGGGAAATGGAGGTGGGTGTAAATTGGTTTTACAGACCTGTTGCTGCCTTGGATTTCCCAGAAGTAACTTGCTTTAACTGGAACTGTGCAGATCCTTCAGCTGAAGATACTGGCATTGACTTAATGAAAAAATGTGCTACTGTCAACAAAAATTCCATACTGGCACATATGTACAGCTTGTCGAGGACAGCAACAACTTGAGTTCCATTTTTATCCTGCTTATATCTTATATCTATCATGGAACTCTCATTTGTGTCATCTTTCTTGTCTATCATTCTGGAAAACAAATGTAATAAGAAACATCTCAAACATCATAACACACAGAACTAAGAAAACAAAGATGCGTAAGTACTGCCATTTTTTCTCCCCATGCCATTTATAAAGAATTACTGCATAAGCAAGCAGTGTTTCTTCCAGAAATAAGAGGGTAGAGGTTTTTCTAGCAGAAAAGTAATTTCAATTTAAAACTAGTGTGCTACACTCTTGAAAGTATGCATGCAGCACATAACAATTACACTGAAGTTTCAGAGCACACAACTCTTTAGCTGAGGCTGGGTGCCCTCTATTCAGCTGTTCTACAGTTTAGTGTAATACACCATCCACCAAGATTTCTTTTTGCTTTGGATAACAACATCAACATAATGAAAAATCATCATAAAAGAGTAGAAATGTCTTTAACATTAATAAAATTAAACTTTTCATTGCTTAAGCACAGAGTACTACAGGCCACAACTGACAGCACTACTGAGTTTTATCAATTCCATGTGAAGCAAAGTATAGAACAAGGAAAAAGCCTTCCTCATAAGCTGAAGTTTATTAATTTTTGATGCATTCAAACCTACCTTGCAGTCACATTCTGAATTCCTTCTCTGAGATCATCCAAGGTACATGCTTTGAGTTTAACACTGATATCCATGGAGCCATCTGAGAACATCTCCCCTGCTGATGCCATGAGATGCAGCCGGAGCTCACCAAGGCGCAATTTGTCACTATGCACCAAGAGCAGAGATTCCTACAGAAGGACAAAGTGCAGCGTTACTTACCACAGAACAAAACAAGGAGACATTTCCCTTGCTACTAGCCATGTGTATCATCATCCATGAATTGAAGGATCTGATTAGCCTGTCCCTGCCATCAGTCCTCCACTCATACAAAGGAGTTCAAGAAACTTACTGAGAAAACAAAAAACCTGCTGGGCTCCAGTGAAGTTGTTTCTGCACCACACTGCCAGCAGTTGCTCAGAATGCATCACTAAAGGATAATCCATTTGAACTCTAGATCCCTTACCAGAGGATCCTTCCACTCTCATCACACTAGCACAAGAGCACCTCAGCAATAAGTGGGAATTATATGACAGTGAAATTAAAATAAAATCCCATTACAGTGACTTTCTTCCCTGTGATGCTCATTGCACAAGAACATCTTAAAAATTATACACAAATAACATTCACTATACACAAAGACATATAAAGCAAGCACCTTCACATCTACACAAAGCAGATTTAATAAAGTCCTAAAAACAATACACCATTTCACATCTTTCTCTTCTGTTTTCAGCACAGATGAAAACAGGATGCCCTTGATTGCTCACACTCGGGAATATGCAAGAGGAAATTATTGGCCATACACAACTTGGATCTACTTATCAACTCTAGAGGTATCAGACATACAACTAGCACTGTCTGAGCTAACAATTCCAGCTTCTCAAATATTAGTTTTTATTTTGGGTAACTGGAATTAAAGTTTGAATGACCAAATCAAGTACTGTGTGGTTTTGGTGGTTTAGTAATATTTTTAGTGTGACTTTCAGAAATGTGCACACCTTTCTTAAGGACATTGTCTGCCCAAGAAAGCTCAAAGCTCCATTAGGAAAGCATTACAAAGCCAATGCAGCTGATATAACTTCATTTTTCTGACCTGAGTTCTGTCCACATGAGAAGCCTTGGCTGCCCACCCCACCTGTGTGGTTTATAAAAGCTTTGGCACAAACCTGAGTCGTGTCACTGTTGTAGAGAGTTACAGAAAGGGACTCAAAATTGAAGTCAAATTTAAGCAATGTATAACATTCCATAGAAGACTGAACTGCAGAAACACTTTTTTGTCCAGAATCAACAAGGGCACCTGTCAGTGAAAAGGAAACATTTTTACATTTCTTTTGAACACTGGGCTTGCTTTTGGTTTTGGGGTTTTCTGTTGTCGGTTGCCTTTTTCCTTTCAGTTGGTTGGTTTCACGTTTGGGGTTTCCAAAAGTAAGATCAGAAAATCACAAAAAGAAGGAAAGCTTTAAATCCAGAGGAGTACTCAAAATAATTCACACTTTTAATTTTGTTCTATCCAATGCATACTAAAATTATCTAGCAGAGAGTGGTTTAGAACCTTAAAAGAAGCTGCCATTGGTTTACTGAAGTTCTTTGCTCACTTTAAAGAAGAGCAACACAAAGTACCAAGTCTTCTCAAGGAGTCTGCACTACTCCTCCTTCCAGTTTCTGTGCACAGCAGAGTAATTCAACTATTGGTTAAACAGAATTTTCTTTTACATTGATAATGTTAAGTTTTGGCAAAAGGTTAACAGTATTTCATCCAGAGACATGCACTGCTTACACTGACACACTATTTGAATACTAATATCTTCCTCACTTGTTGTAATTGTGCATTAACATTCTGGGGTAGATTATTTGGCTTTTTTCTTTTTTAAGCATATGCAGTCAGAAGAGTGATTGATATCAACTGAAAAATACTATCACATGAGAAATGAATCACAAAAAAAAAACCCCACAAAAACTTCTGACCATCAGGAGCTCACACTCCATGTAAGTACATACATTTATAATTTTTCATGTGTACAATATATTTGTACCAGCTAAAACAATTTGTTGTGCTTCAAAAAAATATGATATTTGAATTTGGAAACAGCCCTCTGCCTACACATATTCAGCATTTGAATTGAACATACCCTCAGAGCCACCAGATTCATGTGGAGCTTTCCCTTTTTTAGGTATCTGAGTATCCTCAATATTCTCTTGCAGAGTATTTGGCTGGGAAGAAGACCCTCCAAGGTTTTCAAGTAAAATTTTCATTATAACAGTTAGATCATCTTCACTGAGTGCAATCTGTAAAGTGATAAAACCACAAGCTCATTTTTAGTGACAGCATTTCTTCCAACACAGTACGCAAGCATTGAGGAGAAACAATGAGCTGCTTCCAGCAGAAAAACTGGATCATCAAAATTATCCTGTCCTAAACAATGTAAAGGATTTTCCCATTTTTCCTATATCATTTGTTACTTGTAATAAACAGGAGTTACAACAAGAAATAACAGTCCATATGATAAACACTTTCTAGACTTGTAAGGGAACTTTGCCTATTAAAAATATGGCTAATTGATAAACATAAGCATTTGTCAACAATTCAGTAATTCAAAAACATGACCAGAAAACATTAAAGCCAAGATTTGCATTGTATATAATAAAGCAACTGTGATTCAGTAGGCCTTCAAAGACTTAATGAATATGTACCCAATCATAATATTACAAAATCATAAAAAAGCAAGCAGTACTAAGTGACAAGATTAGCCTATAGTACACAGTGTAAGAATTTTTTTCCTACATTTGGTTAATTCTGCTGGTACTCCTTCAAATCCTTTATTTCTCTGTGCTTCACCAGTGTGACATTTGGCACAGCACAGCTATAGGAATGAACAAGTAAAAGTGCTCAGGAGCAAGGAAAAGGTGCCCCAGTTAGATTTACCACCTACCCCATGCAGCTACACCAAAACTAATCATTATACAGTATCAAAATTCTAACAAATTAATAAACTGGACAGTCAAACTGGAAGTCTTTCAACATACTGTAAAGGACACAAACTGAAAAGAGCTTCCAAGCTCCTTAACTAAGCTGAGGATTATTCTGAGAATCCGTGTGACTTTTGATATTGCTCTTAGTAGTCATGATATTACCTGCATTGGTTTTAGGTCTCCTTTGATACAAATTGTTGGGCTCTTATGATACCATGCTGCTGCTAAATTTCTCTGGACCAGTAAAGTCAAACTCACAGGACGCAGAATTTCAGAATCTGGCTGTGAATCTGCAGATATAATGCACCTAAAAAAAGATAGAGAAAGTAACAGAGGAAATATGTTGACTACTTGCAGAATACCAAATAATATCACATTAATCTAGAAAAATTACAGGAATAATTATTTTAAGAATAAGCTCATATGCATTACACCCATGCATGCACTCCAGATGAACTCAAGTTACTGTGCTATCATTCCCTTCTTTCCAAGATATTGTAGACCTATGTCTCTATCTAAAAGCATTACTAAACTTAGCTTGGCAAGGTTTTTTGCATTGTTTTAGTATGTTCTCATTGCCTACCATGTTTACTAAGAGAAAAATGCTGCATACAGAACATGGACACACTTTTCTTTACAAAGACACTTCAACTTAGGAAAAAGCTCCATGTTTACCTTGATAATTTCAAGTGAGTCAGCTGCACATCCATGTTGTCAATGACTGGAGGAAGAGAAGATTCATCTGAAGACACCAGCTTGAATTCATTCTGAACTCTGATTAAGCCAAGATCAGCTATCAAAGCATTACATGAAGCTGAAGATTCAGGGACAACTATGACTGGAGCTTTCAAGTTGACATCCATTAGAAGGCGGAAGCTCTTTTTAGCAAAGTCCTTCATGCTGGAAGCAGCCATTTCTGCTGCCTGGACAGTGACTGCAGTCAGGGCTTCTTGTGCTGCTTGGAAATTGTTTAGGAAGTTCTATTCATAGGTAGTGAAAAAAAAGTAAGAGTTCTATGAAAACAAATAAGCTTCTCAAAAAAAGGCACACCCCACCCAGGTAAAATGTATATTTAAGAAATATTAACATCTGTGGTATAAACATGAAATTCCTAATTCAACCACACTCATTCCAAAAGAGAAAAAGGTTAAAATCATGAATAAGCTTACACATTGTTTAACTGTTTAATTTTTAAGGTATTATTAAAGCTAACAGCAACATTCATTACTTCTTTTGTCATCATTCTCCTTGGTAATCTCCCGTAAAGCAGTGCAACTTAAGTGGCAACTCTTCAGCAAAATACTTTTGTGTGCTTGCATATCAGCTCACCACCATGTACAGGTCAGAAAGAACCGACTGCATTTTGTCTCATTAAAAAAAAACATGTAATGTAAAGGAAAAAAATCTTTTTAAACTAATGTCTTACCAAGAGAGACATAAAGAACTTATGTAGGTAAATTATTTGGATGCAGCCCACTTTCAGAGACATTTTACCATCCACCCTTGACATATCAGTGTAGGCTTCCCCTGCAGTGGCATCTGGATAAAGTGACATGTGAAATCGAAACACTTCATCTCCCATTATGCAGACAGCCTAGAAGAATAAGTACACATAGTTAAAACTACAGGTATTTCTGAAACAAATAATATTTCCCCAAAAGATCAATGGCAACTTATCAGCAGTACTTCAACACATGGTAGGCACAAAAGGAAAGAGCATCACCTGTTTTATAATATATCCCTCTTCTCACTTGCTTATCTATGGCCCATTTAATATTTAACCCCTGCTATTAAGAATTAAACATACCAGTGTAAGCGTAATTAAAAATAACTAAATAGTAAATGGAAGAATGTTTTGCTTCTCTGAGGTGAGGGAAATTAATCAATATATTTTGCTTATTATTACATCCTACATTGCATTCTATAACACAGCAAATTAAACTACACTGCTGTCACTAAATCACTTGAAGAACTGGGTCTCTTCAGCTGTTTACAATCTGCTCAACACATCACCTTTTTATGGATTGTTTCTGGATCAACATTTGTAATTACAATGTCCTCAAGTCTGGAGAACACTTTAATCTTTTTAGGCTTCTTAATCACAGATGCATCCATTCCTGAATGAAACAAAAGAAAGAAGGTAATAAATGCACTTCAACAAATTTCAAAGTAAACATTTCTGCTAAAAAACAAACAAACAAACCCCCTGAATTATTTACTACTGAATATAAAGAATAACAACAGCTTAGCATGTTCTGCTGTGTAACAGTGAAAGCTTGACAGAGAAGTCAGGGCCTTACTGCACATGACAAAGTTGCCAACATAACTTGATAAAAGGACTAGAGTACAATTCCCCAACACTATCTAGATCTAGCTATTAAAAAATGCAAATCTGTGTTACCTAAAACATAGTGCCTTCACTTCTTTTAATTTTACTACACTTCGAAATTGTCCTTGTTTTCTAGGTCAAACTTTTTTATTCCTTGCAGATAATTTCATACAATCAAAATATATTGAAACACATGTTTGTTAGACACATCTGCAGTGCACACACTGGCCTTTTAAAAATGAATGGAGGGAAACAGCTTATTTCTGGCTACAGCCAGCTTCATCTAATATTTAAATAAAAAACACCTTACCTTGTATTCTAATGTCTGCAATTCTACAGGTCTGATCACACACTGTAATACTGAATGCATTTAGCTTTGCAGTGAGTTTTAATTCACAGACATCATCGTGGGCTGCATCACCAGACACTGGATAGGAAACACAAGAGACATACAAGGAATTCAAATTTAAAATAAATATTAATTATTAGTTTTGTACATATATTAACTATTCAAAAACAACCTGCAGTCATTCCCTGAAAGACATGATAATCCTTAATCAAAATATGAAAGAAGTAATTTATTAACAGTTCTCTTCAGGCACACGAACTGCCACCAACCAACACAGGCAAAAAGCTATCAAGATGATGTCTTTTCTCCTCATCAACACCTAGTTTTCATGCATCAGTTGCTGAATGCAGTATACACTACATTATCTGAAACACTGTCTCACGTGAGAAATGCCCCTCTCTGTGCCAAGTAGCAAAGCCAATTTAGGCATATTAACTGCAGCAACAATGCACAAACACAAAATGTAACAGCCACTGGACTCAATCCCAATAGTTTTAGGATGAGAAAACCTTGAATTTCACAAACAACACTACAAGCACATGGAATCAAGAACACAGGACCTGGAAGAATATTCAGGAGCTTCCATGCAAAAACTCTTACTGTTTCAAGGTTACAAAGGCCAATAACTAAACTAAACACACCACCCCTGCCATTCAGAACTTCTTTTTGCTTCCCCAGAGGAGTATTTATTTTCAGTAGAGTAAGCACTCTTTAGAGCCCTCAGATTGAAAAACTACATTGTTGTGACACTAAATCTTTGGAAAGGTTGCACACTGCAACATCATTTATTCAACTTTCATTACAAAAATCAGACCACCACCCAGGGAAAAGTTATATTGAGTAAGGAGATTTTGTAAAATTAAGCAACAGGAAAAATGTCTGCTGGGTTTTTTTAATAAGATGGTTTTCTCTCCATTTACTGTTTTCCACCAAACAGAATGCAATGCTGTCATCTGAAATAATATCCTTTGAAACTGAAGGTGAGCTGCTGTTAAGCAACAAATGTACAGCCTTTCTAATATGACACTACCTGGTCTAAAAGTACTTCCTTTTTCCTGTTCTTTCATTTGAGGCTTGTGGTCTGATGATTTATCAGTACTGGGAAGACCACCCGATGGAACTCTGAAGGTGAGGAAACTCATGATGGAAAGCAAAGCCTCTGTGTGAAGTACTATATCCAAACATGAAAAGATGACCTAAAACGAAGGCAAGGAGACAAACAATGTTATTTTAGTAGCAGTTTATACCCTTACAACTCAGAGCTGCTGTCATAGAAGCAAGGAAAAAAGCCTCTTGCTCGATTTCACAAGTATTTGAGTCTTCTGTATCCATCCCCTTCACACTACACAAGCTCCAGAACAGATGAGGAAACTAGGGAAGGGATTTTAAAACAGCAACAGAGGAACTGTGCTAATCTAAAAATTGATGCCTCGTGTGGTTATGCCTTTTCAGGACACTCTCTTTAGTTCTGCTGCATTTCATTTCATTCAGCCCTTTGGTTAACAACTTCAGAACCACTTATAAAGATATTTTAGTAGATATGGTACAACAACAACAAAAAACCCCACTAAGATTCAAAATTTGCAATCAGAACAGAAATTCCTGCCAGTATTACTTAGTGAAACCCAGCATCAGTCACTTATTCCACAAAAGGCCATCAAGAAGCAGCTTGACCCACCACTACCATTTTAAAGGAAACATGTTAAAAAAAGGATGACATGTTTATTTCAGAAGTCACTGAAGCTGTCGCCCTTTCTCCTTTTAAAAAAAAGAAAAAGAAAAAAGAAAAATATTCTAACAATCAAAAAGGAAAATAATCAACATTCTAAACAACCAAAAGGCTCCAGTTTCAGGGTGGTACCTCACCCTTTTTCCATTGCAAGAAAACAAAACTGAAAACCTTTTCAGTGTCTGCTNTGATCTGTGTCAGGAAAATTAATCCACAACCACCAGAGGTTTATGTCCAAAAAGGAAACAGAGGAGTCCTTTTACTTTATTTGAATAAAGACAGAGGCCATGGGGCATTCCCTTAGGGTCTCTCGATTTTTGGAGAATGCAGCCTCCTTTTTATCCTAATTTCCCAGCTGCATGTCCCTTCTCTCTTTCCCCATAGGCTGAGGTACTTGAGAGGTACAGATTTCCCAGAATGCCTGATACCTGAGAACTCTCCCCTCAATGCATAATCCCCTTCTTAATTAACTCTTGTGGAATTTGTGGTGCTTCCTCAGTGTCTCTTCCATCCTTCAGTGGAGTCCATCCCATTGTTTCTGTTATCTCTCAGTGCTGGTTTCATCTTATCAGCAGATCCACAGCTTGTTTGTAAGGACAAACCCATCATTCCTCTCAATCTGTGATGCACAGGAAGAAATTTGGCTCTCCATATTGTCAACGTGGCTGTGTTTACAGCCAGACTTTGGAGCTCAGCTCTGAGGACTGCCCTGGCACTTTTGATGAGGTATTTAAGAAGGGTATGAGTCAGTACACCAGAGAAATAAGAATCAGAGAGCAAGACAGATCTCTTTCTAGTAAGGCGGTGGACAGCAACACTGCACATTCATCCAGCTTTGTGGATAAAAGGAGCAGAATTTAGCTAATCCTCACACACAGAAGCAGTGCTATTACAATTGCTCAGTCAGCCATTCTGGGGTGAATCTGGATCATTTGGGTTTTAAGACTATTATGATGGCTTTACATTTCACTGAGCAGACTATTACATGTATAATTCAGAAAGACAGTGAATACTTAAATGTGGATTCCAAGTTCACTGTGCAGAAGAAAACAGTGGACAGTTCAGACCTCTGCAGATATCATCTCTTACCAAGTATTGGGACAAAACTAAGTATTTCTAGTAAAATACACACAGCCTTTCCACACACTTTGGGAGGAACGATACCAACACACTTCTGGGAAAAATAAATAGTCATTATACAACTTGTTTTGTACTTTTCAACTCTCCTATCCTACATTAGGGAAAAAAAAAAGAAAAATTATCTGACCTTTTACATATATGAAAATTAATTAATGTATTTTACTGTGCTACCCTAATATTGTTTGTTCACCATTTCTTTATCTTGATGCCTTGAGAAGGCTGACCTGGAACAGAGGTTAGACAGAGTTAAGAATAAAGTAGTTATTTATTGAAAGGACACACCTTGGGCAACACAAGAGCCTGGCCAGGGCTAAAAGGACACACCTTGGGCAACACAAGAGCCTGGCCAGGGCTACACCCAAGATGGACCAAAAATGGTCACAAAATGGACAACTCATCACGAGGTCTCACATTTTTTTAAGTTTTGGTCCATCTGCATATTGGGGTTAATTGTCCAGTTACAGCTTCAGATTATGAAGTCCCATCATTCTTGTTTTCTCTCTTCAGTCCACACTTGGTGATGCTTTTGGGCCTGAAACTTGTAACAACTGTCCTTGGTATCAAGCTAAGAAAGGAATTGTTTTGTCTACCTACTCTGAGAAGAGAGCTCACTAACACTTAATATGAAGCTCAAAACTACACACCTAGGCAGTGCAGAATCTGAAAAATATGAAAGCTAAACCTTAAGGCATCAATCCCTTCAAACTTAACCTCCTTATCTTTATTATTATCTTTATTATTTTCTAATCAGTGGATTACTGCATTTTGTACTTCACTGCTTCAGAAATACAAAATTTTCATTTGCTTTTATGGTTAGAGCACACCAGAAAAGCAAAAAGCAAATTAGTGAAGAGAAAGAAAACTTCCTAAGACACACCTGCATCTGAGAGCTTTTAACCAAATGCTGCAAATGTATTCCATATTCAGATGAAAATAGAACAGTATATTTTAAAAGAATAAGACAGAGACTAGAAAGGACAGCCTTATTTTTATTTTTATTCAAAGCACTTCTTCTTGCCATCATCACAAAACTGCCTCTGTCCAACTTACAAGTCATTTTTACAATTGGACAGCTACATTTGTGCCTTCCTGAAAATTCCCTTTTGAATAGTTGGTTTGCCTTCCTCACTTTTGGCCTTGAAACCAGATGGAACATGGTGGAAAGATGCCAGAGGAATTCCTTCAGCAGAAATAACTGATATAAGGTAATTGCACCCAGTTCAAAGGTCCATGTCACAGTGTCCTGCTTCCAACAGAGACCAAAAGCAGGTCCCGAGGGCAGAGCAGAAATGCAGAACAGGCATAAAATCTGCTGCTTTGGAGCACTGACTGCAGCTGAATCTCCAGGTATTTGCAGCTCAGCAGTTTCCTCAGCTAGAGCACTTTCTGTGTTTAACACCCTTCCAAGGATTTCTCTTCCACAAACTTGTGCAGGCTCTTGTACAACAGATCTGCTGGACTTACAGACAAGTGTTTCACACATAAATACAAAGCAATTTTCAAGCCAAGAATCTATGGAAAGAGTGGAGGCATGGCCTAAAGAGTACATGAGGAACCTATAGCCTCTTCCAGATGAAATTTGTATCTGCTCATTTAGAGTTCATGCCATGCATCAGAAGTGAAAGAATAATTTTATGCTGCTGAACCATTTAGGTGATCAGCTCTGACACTTGAGCAGGTAAGGTGCGAGGGATCTCCACTGTATCCAGTATGGAAGATGAACAAGGAAAGAGGTAAAGATGCCATCTCCTGTGGCCAGGGAAAACAAATCTCAGATAAATTGGATGTTTTCAGACCTGCACAAAGTACCCTGACATACACAGTCACACCCTGGCACAGGGTCATCACCTGGCAGAAAAGGCATTCAAGCAAGAGTGGACAAACCAGTAAGAGACCCTCCAGGATCTGCATCTGTGGCATTCTGGATCCTTGCAAAACGTCTGTGTTTGAACCTTTAGCAAGGCTGATTTCTGCACACACCCCAGGTTATTAAACGAACCTGAACATGCCAAAAGCATCAGCAGACTAGAAATTCCCTCTTCAGCCAACATGCTCAGCTGAACTCCACCAGTGACAGCATCCTCATGTCCATGGAAAGGGAACCAGCTGGAAACTTCATAAGGCATTCCACATCTAGGATGTCAATTACCCATATCCACTTTTAGATGTCCAAAGCATTAGTCCTGATTTACTGCTTTTATGGGACACATTTGAAGTTTAACTGATACAATTTGAAGTCTTTCTGCAAAGACTTACCTCTTTTAATGACTCTCATTAATATTGCTTCATTTCCTATATGTTAACACCTTTTTTTATTTCAAAATTGATACATTCTTTTAAACTGCTTCTTAAAAGATTAATCATTATTGACAGTAAACACCAGGATGTTTTCCCCAGTCTTTTTGGTCAGTCACATAAAAACTGAAAATTAAGGTGTGTGTAGGTGTAAGGAGTAAAATGTGACCTCCTGATCAGTATACAAAGGTGTTAATCCAGTTGAATGTTGTCACTGTAAGGTGCCTTCTTTGTTAAATACCATACAAAATACCACATGTCCAATGTTGCTGTGACAGCCTCCTCTGTTAAATGCCACCTTGCCTTGTACCCGTGCCCTTTTCTGTGCCTGCATTGCCTCTGCTGCTCCCAGCACCCGCAGTGGCACCGATGACAGCACCCAGTGTGTGATGAGTGAACTCCCATGGGGGTAGCACCCAGGGGAAGTGGGATTAACATCTAAACACCCCTAGAACCAGCGAGCCATGGCTCAAACCAGACTCCAAAGTAACTGAGGAGCAAGGGAGAACATCGAGCCACTTACTGATGTTCCAGGCCTTATCACCATAACTAAAACAACTCTCACTATCCATGACTACCCCAGGTGTCCAAGGAGCCAGTGTCTTCCTGGGGACTCTCATGAGGATATGAGCCCCAGCTCTGCTGTGTGGCAGAACTGAACATCTCCTTCTCCTCTGTGCTGTCCATCAGGAGCAGCACTGGTGTGCACAACCCCTGGGGGCCCCCTACCTACAGCTGACCTCAATAAAGGCATTAAAAACTAATCCCAGTCTCCTTGCCTGTTCTTTCCATAGGGGATCCCACAGGATATAGGTTCTACATGAGAGCACAAAGACTGCAGTATCTAATGTAACAGCACCACAGGGCCACACAGTGCTCTAGAATACATGTATCAATGTGATGTCTAAATTAATCTGCCCTTTATGGCAAACTCCTATTGACATTGAAGAGCTCTGAATACACAGAGTAGATAGAATATAATGTGAAAATAAAGTGGCAGCATCAACTGAAGTTCCTTGTTCTCCT